CCACCCATCCACCCATACATACATACATACATACATACATCCACCCACCACCCACCCACCTATCCATCCATCCACTCACCCTCCCACCCATCCGTCTGTCTAAATGCAAATAAAATTATTTTCATTTATTTGGGGAATTTTGGAGACAAATTTTAAAAGCTGCAATTCGAGGTCATTTGAAAGCAACACTGATATAATTTCAATGCCAGTTTGTCAGGAAGAGAGGCTCATGAAAGTAAAATTGGCCAAACAACAAGGACATAACATTGATGAACTTGCCCTCTCATCAAACACCCAAGCACAGGCAGTTTCTCAATATCTTGAAGGGCCTAGAAGGCTCTTTTTGCTGCATTGCTGTCGAAACGAGATTTACTAAAATCTGCTCATTTATATCATTGTCTGTGGCTGGCTTAAGATCTACAACGCATGTTTCTAATTTTTAAAAGTTGTTCTTCCAGTGAGGAAAAGAAACAGCAATGAATAAACCTCCAGAGCCCCATTAGGTTCTACATCTACAGGGTACTCAGCTTCTATAATGGGATCAACAGACTTTATCTAGAAAAGAGCCACTAAGTTGATCTGAATTCACAACCACCCCATAGGACAGAGTACAACTGCCCATCAGGTTTCCAAGTCTGCCATCTTTATGGGGCAGAATGACACATCGTTCTCAGACAAAGCAACTGGTACGTTCACACCACCAAACTTTCAGTCAGTAGGCAAGTCTTCAGCCACTGTGCAGCCAGGTAAAGGGATAAACAAGAAATACTTTAGGTTTGACAGGTCATATGGCCTCTGCCGCAGCTACTCAAGTGTGCCACCGATGAGTTAAAACAGTATGACTCTAACAAGCAAGCATGGCTGTGTGCCAATGAAACGTGATTTACAAAACCACCTGTTAGGTCCCCATCCAATTCTGCCACCAAACAGATCACTTTTGGACCATTCACACAACACCTCTGCCACAAGCTTTAAATATATATATATATATACTCATTGTAACACAGCACTTCCCTGACCTATCTACATGGTCCCACATTGTGGATCCCACCTCAGGGCAAACCAGAAGAGGAGGCATGAATAAATGCAGCCCAAGGCCTTATGCGTGAGAACATTCTCTCACCCAGAACATCTCTCGTGCCTTTCACACAGCTTACCTTGTGCCACGGTCTTGATGTCACCAAAAACAGGGGTCACTTTAGAGCTTAGACGGGTATGAATTTTGCCTCCTAGCAAAGGTTTAATATCTAGATTCAAAGAAGCATAAGTAATCGTGAGGGGAGGGTCCACAAATTCCTTAGCCTCTTGGCACTCCCCTTCCCTGCCCATGGCTGGATTTCCCTGCTGGAAAGCTCTTTTTGTCTCTCCCATTCTCATTCTAGACTCCTTGTATAAGTTGACTCTTGTGTGGAGAGTCAGCCACGCTCTTCAAATCCCTCAGCAAGAAATGAAGAATGAGAAATAAAGGCACCACAGACTTGGCATCAACGCATACGAGGAAAACAGTTTTTATCGTGTTAAGGCATAACAGCTGTGTCCCTAATGTCTTCCGCTAATATGTAAAACCAACAACTCTCAAGTCGACTGTCTCATGAAGACCACATGTGTGGCAGAAGAGAACTTTGCACCATAGCATTTTCAATGGCTGGTTTTCCGGATGTTTTATCTTTCAAGAAGCCTCCGGGTGGACTCGAATCTCCACCCTTTCAGTCAGGAGTTGAGCACGTTTTCTACTTGCGTCACCAGAACTTCAATCTCTTCAGCTAGACCAGGGGTTCCCAACCCTGGCACTATTGACATTTGAGAGGAAGATAATTCTGCGTTGTGAGGGTATGGCAGGGGGGTGAGGAGCATGTTTGATCTTTATCAACGGATCCCAGTTACACATACCTCTTTCCTAGTTGTAACGACCAAAAATGTCTCCAGACATTGTTAAATATTGCCTGGGGTGCAGAGTCCCCCAGCTCCCCTGGCTGAGGACCACTGAATCAGGCTGTGTGTGAGCTACTTGTGGGCATTCACAAAGCAGGCACTTGCCCACCCCTCATTCCTGAAGCTCCCCAGTTTCTCTGTGCCATTTCCATCTTTGACAGTGGAGACATTTCCTCTCCGACATGGGGAATGACAAGACATGTGACAAGAAAGCAAAAGCATTCTTACAACGAATGCTTGAGTTTAATTACTGCAATTTGTCAACAGCTCTAGGGACTTTTATTTTCTGTTTTTCCCCTAATTTCTTGCACAAATTTTACAAGTCTTGTGCCTCACATTTGTCAGTTTATGTCTTGTGGGCAAAGACAGAGCATGTTCAAACAAACCAACAAAAAAAAAGAGGAGAGCCTCTATTCTATATTCTCCACTGAAATCCTATTGTGCACTAATTTTTTATGAAAAGCACTTCTTTCAACAATAAAACAGGCAATATTTGTTGCAATAAAAATGAAAAAAAAGAAGATGTAAGGTAACTATGAACATTACTCACTGTTCAGATCCAAGATGACTCTATCCTTAGCGGTATTGTACTCGTTCAAGACATAGTTGATTTGCTTAAAAAATAATAATAGTAAAAATAAGTGAATCTTTCTCTTCTAAACTCATTATCCTGAATCCAAACTAATGAACAGCAACTTCACAGAGTTCTTAATATTACTCCAAAACTGGCATAAAACATGATTTACTATTGCTCATGATCCTATGGACCTGCTGGGGCTGGCTGAGCCTCTCTCTCAAGCAGCCAATGTGTTCACACAGTGGTTTGAGCACTTCCAGCCGCAAGAAAGTAAAAGCGGGCACTGAAAAGCCTCCAGAAGCCAAGATTCAAAACCACACAAGGTCACACCCACTGTATTCTACTGGTCCAAGCAAGGCAAGGATTCCTCAGTTTCAGGGGTCATGAAATAGACACTCCTCTTCATAGGAGGAACTACAAAGAAACCATGGTCATTTGGAATCCACCACATTGGACTCCTTTTACTTAGTGGCCACCACCAAACATTTTGGAATCCCGGTGTGGCGCTGTGGGCTAATGCACCAGACTGCAAAACCATTTGAACTGCAAGGTCGGAGGTTGAAGCTCACCAGCTGCTGCTTGGAAACCCTATACAGGGATGCTATGGGTCAATGGCACTTAACAACAATATCATATTTAAAGTTTGACTATTTCCTAGAAAATAATGAACTTGGAAGAACACATCCCTGGGCCAGGAGGCTCATGGAGTCTTGTGGGATTTTATTAGAGCACCCACTAGGATGGGTTCTCCTCCCCATCGGAACCCACGGGCCCAATATCATGATACGAAGGTGAGTCAAAAAGTGCTGCTACAGAATCAGTGAAAAAGAGGAAGACCCCCAACAAGATGGTTGGCACAGTGGCAGCAGCAATGATTTTGAGGATGGTGCAGGACCGGGCGGTGTTTGAGTCTATTGTACATGGGATCGCTTTGTGTCGGAGACGACTCCATGGCACCTGACAACAGCAGAATCATAGATGCCTTTATTAAACAAAATTATTAGAATGTGACGACGTTGCCTCTCTACATGTCCTCCATCTACGTCCATTTACTTCTGTAGGTGGTGTTTCCACCTGGCTTGTAGGAGAAATATTAGATCAATCGCTGGGCCAACAGTTCAAACCCCCCAGCCTCTCTGTGGGAGGAAGATGAGGCTTTCTGCCCTCGTGAAAAATGTACAGCCTCAGAAACCCTAAACAGTTGCCATGAGTCAGAATCGACTTGATGGCAGTTAGTTTGGTTTCAGTTTGAGCCTTTCCCTGAAGAATACTGTGCTCTTCAATTTGCACCCTGTCAAGGCCAAACCAGCAGTTTGGGCATCCTCAAGGGATTAAAATCAAGTACTTTAAAAATGTTCTCTGAGTTTGAAGGACAAAGAGAAATGTAAGGGGCAAGATCCGGGCTGTAGGGTGCATGGGGTAGGATTCCCCCATAAAAGGCTTGTAGCACAGTCCTTGTAACCTCCAACAATGAGCAGGTGCATTGCTGTGATGGAAAAGATGTCTTCAGTGCAACTTTGCTGGCCTTTTTCTCAACAATGCAGCTTTCCATTGTCTCACAATTGAACAGAGGATCATCCAGTGTCTTCTGAATAAATATCTCAAGCTAATACCACTTGTCGTGGTTAAGTGCTGTCAAATCGATTCCAACTCATTGCAACTGTTTCCAAGGAGTGAACCACTGACCTTGCAGGTAGCAGTCCAGTGCTTATCCTACAGCATGTACTATTACTTCATGCCGTATCGTTAAAGTAACAAAATTGAAACGTGAGATCCTGACATGAGGACTTTTGTCCTTTTTTTGAAAACTACTTACTGGACCTTTACTTTCATCGTCTATAAAATTAAAACATAGCAGTTATCAACATTGATTTATTGGAGTTCTAAAAAGTCTCTGTGAAATGTCCAATAAATACAGCAAATCTGAGGTCGAAAAGGCAATGTGGTATATATGAATACTATTGTTGTTAAGTACCGTGGAGTCGGTTCCGACTCATAGCGACCCTGCACAGGGTTTCCGAGGCTGTAAATCTTTACGGGAGCAGAAAGCCTCATCTTTCTCCCGCGGAACCACTGGTAGTTTCGAACTGCCGACCCTGAGGTTCGCAGCCTGATTCGTAACCCCTACACTACCAGAGCACCTACATATATGAGTATAGGTAGTGGTTTTTACCACTGGAGTTTCATTCAGGAATGTCTGTAAGTCTTTCAAATTGCTGTCTGATAGTCGGCGAGCCCCTCTGATGCGGGTCCTGAGATGATGGTTGGCCAGGAAACCACAGATGATGCCAATGCTGCAGAAAACAGAAAAGAGAAGGTCGTTCACCATGTTGCGCGGTTATCTAGAGGGGAAGAGCAGTGCAGGAGACTGGGAGAGCCACCTCACTCTGGTGCCACGAGAGAGATTCCTAAGCTTGGCCACAAGTTCTTCCCAGCTTACCACCTCATACAGCAGCCTGCTTCAGAACCACAGTCTGCCACCACCAGCATGGGACTCAATCTTCTCACAGAGGATGAACATCGGTATAAGATATAAGTGTCCCAGAGTCCCCATCCACCCTGAGGCACCTCAGAAGACCTGGCTTTCTCCTTCTAAGAAAATCAGCCATGAGAAAAGCTACAGAGCACAGTTCTACTATGATATACATGAGGCCGCCATATGTCAGAATAAGCTTGTCGGCAACTGGTTATTTCAATGTTAACTATGGATCTTATAAATGAAACAATATGCACAAGGATTCATGGATGACAGAGAAATTGCAGAGGTTACAAGACAGTGTGTATGACAAAGTCCCATTCCTGTACCAATGCAAACGAGGTGCCCACCCTTGTGCATACACCAAGCACACCCGGTGTCTGTGTGCCCTGCAAATGAGACTACAGAGAAATGCAGCAAATGAGGAAAGTGGTTTGGGCTTTCAGATGTTAATTTCTGTCAATGTCTGTTAGTTTCAGTTATTGTCCAGGTTGAAAACATGAAAATGCTTAATGCGAAACCACACTCACACAAAAAAAGGTTGCATACTGTGTTATTATTCTAGCTCTGTTGTTCCTAAGGAACTATGGTAGCGTACTAGTTATGAATCGGGCTGCTAACCTCAAGGCCAGCAGTTCAATACTACCACCAGTGGTTCTGTGGGAGAAAGATGAGGCTTTCTGCCCCACTAAAGATTTACAGCCTCAGAAACCCTATGCAGGGTCGCTATAAGTCGGAAGAAACTCCACGGCACAGAACCACCACCAGTGTTGATTAGGAGTCTTGGTCTGGTGCTAAAGGATAACCTCTGGACTGCTGACCACAAGGTTGGTGGTTCAAACCCACCTGCCAATCCTTGGAAACCCTGTACAAGGTTGCTATGAGTCAGAACCAACTCTACGGCACTTAACAACAACAATAAATGTTGATTAACCCAAACCTTCTGTCATCAAGTCAATTCCAACTCATAACAGCCCTGTATAGGATTGCTGAGACTAGAAATTTTTATGGGAGCACAGTCTCAGAGAGACTGGTGGATTTGAACTGACAACCTTGTGGTTAGCAATCCAACACCTAGCACACAATGCCACACAAGGGCTCTTTTGTTACTAATAATCCGACTTAATTTGTCTTAATTTGGCAAATTGGGTCTGCCTTCAACCATTAAAATAAATGTCAAATCAATTGCCAAGGACCTAGTCGATTGGGCCACTAGAGGGCAGCAAGGAATTACAAAACTCATCTAACATCAACTCAAACTGAGAACCGTGTAGGACCAGCTGTGTACCTTCTGTAGCACACAAGGTCTCTAGGAATCGGAACTGACTGGATAGCACCTAACAACAACTGAAGAGGACTCTGAATATTTTACCCTCAGAAGTTGATCACAAAATTGTTGATAACCAGCCAGATGGAAGGTGTAAACACGTTTCAAAACCAAATTCTACAAATAACAGGCAAGCTTTGGGGGCAAACATCTTGATGCAGTAAGTCGTGTGAAGCAGTGTTGGAACCGCATTGTGCATGTGTTAATATTTTGGATGACCAAGCAGTTTCAGTACTTTGTCCCCAGGAAACCGGCCATCCTATTTATAGTTATAATAATACCAGGGAGCTTCAAAATGTTGGTAGGAAAATCCCATTGTCTTTTAGTTTCAAGCTTTTAAAGACCCCTTGTATATTCCAAGGGGCAGCGGTTCATTGTTGGCTCAACTTCAAATACATTTTCCAACAGCAGTACAACACAGGTGCAGGAGATTGCTCAAACGACTCCAGGAAAGACTCTAACACACTGTTGAGTACTATGCATTTCTTCTGGCTGAACAATTGCAGTGGATAGTGTACTAGGACTTCAGTAAGAACAAGGAGACTTAGGTTCTGATCCTGCCACTGCCATCAACTCACAGTGTGCAAGCTCGAGGAGGTATCTCAAGATGCAAAATTAGGTTCGATTCTCAACTCAAGCAGTAAATGAGAGGGGTGCTTTGGTGCCCACAAGTTCAGTGAATTTTCAATCTGTTTTAGGTTTGGGTTCATTTTGGTGATAATATTAAAAAAGTGAATAAGAACAGTATTTTGTAGCTTCCTTACACAGATTTATCCCAATATTCAAAGTAGAAAGTCCCTATGAATCTTTGCGTACGTCCAAGTGGCATAAAGGAAAGAAGCAATTACCACTAGCTTATATGGGAAAAAGTCTTTGAGTGTTCCCAGACCTACCACTAATCTACGAAATCAGACCAAATAACACATGAACCCTGAAATAATTCTAGGTGATGGGTTGCTAACCACAAGGTCAGCAGTTCAAACCCACAACAACAACCAACTCTACACAAGACCCCTATGTTTGTGTGCCATGGAATTGATTCCAACTATAGTGACCCTGTAAAACAAAGTAGAACTTCCCTCTAGGGCATCCTAGGCTGGACTCTACAGGTGCACATCACCAGGCTATGTTCCTGGGGAACAGCTGATGGGTTTGAACTGACGACCCTTCTGTTAGCAGCTGAGCCCTTATCTGTTGTCCCACCAGTCTTGCTGAATGTCCAGTGTTGTTGTTAGTGACTTCGAATTGGTTCCGACTCATACAGACCCTGTATAGGGTTCGGAAGTCCTCATGTCATGGTATAGGATTGTTGTTGTTGTTAAGTGCCGTCGAGTCGGTTCCGACCCATAGCGACCCTGTACAGGGTTTCCGAGGGTGTAAATCTTTACAGGAGTAGAAAGCCTCATCTTTCTCCCGCGGAGCGGCTGGTAGTTTCAAACCGCTAACCTTAAGGTTCGCAGCCAGATTCGTAACCACTACGCTACCAGAGCTCCTTATACCAGAGCTCCTTAAGCACCACAAAGTCGGTGGTTCAAACTCTCACCAGCCACTCCTTGGAAACCCTATACAGGATCACTATAAATCAGAACCAACTCAATGGCACCTAACCAGAGCGTGGCCAAGGAGTGGCTGGTGGGCTTAAGCTGCCAACCTTGGGGTTAGCAGTCCAGTGCTTATCCTACAGTGACACTCTATGCTGTTGTTGTTAAATGCAGTCGCGTCAGATCTGACTCACAGCAACCCTGTATAGGGTGTCCAAGGAGCGGCTGGTGGGTTTGAACCTCTGACTTTGTGGTTTGGGGTCCAGTGGTTGTCCTATGATGCCACACCAGGAATCCTAATTTCCCTTGCTGTTGCTATAGTGCCATTGAGTCGGTTCTGTCTCAGAGTGACCCCTGTATAGGGTTTCTGAGGAGTGGCTGGCGAGTTTGAACTGCCAACCTTGTCGTTCGTTCACTGCTGATCCATATAATACCTTATTAAGTAACATGAGACAGACAGTGCTTGCTTGTCAATTCTGTGTAGCCTACGACAGTTGTTGTCAACTCAATTCTGACACAGGCCGACCCCGTATGTACAAAGTAGAACTGCTCCAAAGGGTTTCCTGATGGAATACTCATGGCCACAGAGCTTCTGATTATAAACAAAAAAATTGGAAATCTGGATTTTTAGGTGAACTATCCCAAGTTTTAAATATTAAACCAACAAAAACCCACTGCCACTAAGTCAGTTCCAGTGCATAGGAACCCTGCCAAAGGCTCCAGAGAATGGAAATCTTTATGGGAGTAGAAAGTCTCATCTTTCTCTTTGGCTGGTGGGTTTGAACTACCGACCTCCCAGTTAGCAGACCAGCATTTACCCTCCAACCACCAGCAACTCATTTCAAAAAGAAAACGCTAACATACTATGATGAGCAATTGATGGTCTCCATTTTAAACCTCCAATCGAACTCTTCTATTTCAATTCATTTTTATGAGCAAATAAGTTACATTGAGCAGGAAATAACATTATTTTTGTTCTTGATTAAAAAAACAATTACTTTCATGTTGATTCTTGCTCATGGATGTTGGCCTATGAATGTCAGAGTACAATGGGATTTTCAGTGGTTGATTTGGGGGAAGTAGATCACCAGGATTTCTAGCATGGCGCTGTAGGATCAGCATTGACCTGCGAACTACACAGTTGGCAGTCCAAACTCACCAGCTGCTCCGAAGGAAAACGTATGCAGGGATGCTATGAGTTGGAACCGACGCCACGCACTTAATAACAATAGATCACCGAGCCTCTTTTCTAAGGTACCTCTTTGTTGTTGTTTTGTTGTTAAGTGCCGTCGAGTCGCTCTGGATGGATCCAATCTCCACCCTTTTGTTACAACACCTGGGTACACCCATGGCTGATTTTTTGTTGTTGCTGTTAGGTGTCACAGAGTTGATACGGACTCATAGAGACCCTAACACAACAGAATGAAACACTGCCAGTCCTGAGCCAACCTCACACTCATCACTTTGCCTGAGCTCATTGCTACTGCCACTGTGCCAGTCCCTCGCATTAGGGCTCTTCCTCATTTCCCCCGACTTAACCAAACGATATCCTTCTGCAGGGACCAGTCCCTCCTGACAATATGTCTGAAGTATGAGAGACGAAGTTTGGCCAGTCTGGCCTCCAAAGAGCATGCTGCCTGCACTTCTTCCAACACAGATCTATTGGTTGTTTTGGCAGCCGATGGTACTTTCAATATTCTCTTCCCCAACACCATAACTCAAATGCATCAATTCTTCTACAGTCTTCCTTATTCACCGCCTATCCTCACATGTATAAGAGGCAATAGAAAATACCATGGCTTGGGTCAGGCACGTTTTAGTCCTCAAAGCAACATCTTCGCTCTTTGACACTATAGAGATCCTTTGCATCAGATTTGCCTAATGCAACAAGTTGTTTGTGGGAAATTTACTTAATAGGAAAATTGGAAAAAGTTCCAATGGAAATTTTAC